ACGTCTTTACGTCCAGCCGTATACGTCTTTAGTCCTGCCTAAAGTGGGTGTGGTTAGCGGTGTGGTAAACCGCCCTTTTATTACCTCATCTGTATGCGCCTCTAGTAAGTCACATGTTTAATGGCGGCATAGACTTAGTAAGTCACATGTTTAATGGCGGCATCAGACTTCCTCCTACAATAACTAGTATAGGCTCTAAGGAGGCAATCTCTTTGTGGAGACCTGGGAAACTCTGGTCTTAAAGCCACCAGGCTTCACTTCTTGGGATCCAAATTGGAGACCATAGCAAGTGCCACTATAGCACATCAGAAGTTCTTTCTCTGTTGGTGTCAATGAGGTCAAGACCCATCCTGTTTTTCCCCATAACACTGGTCTGTCCTCTTGTAAGAGGAGAGAACCAAGTAAAACCCCCTGGGCTTCATATTCCAAGTGATTCCAAATGATTCTCAAATTATGTCAAGGTGACAATTAACACTATTACAGGACCTAAACAACCAATCTTCTGTAAGGAACGAGATGGAGATGAAATCGATGATGCATATAAAATCCTTGTAACCTTATAAGGGCTCCTTGGAGCAGGGATGTCCCCCCACAACCACCCAGTAAGAATCCTCATTCTATCTTCCTGCAAGCCTGCACTGTTGTATGCATTCACCACAAGGGAGCTTCACAATGCCAAGAGGCAGGTATTGTTAGTTTACAGGTATGAACACCCAAGTGATCCAGGTACATACTCACCTCCGGAACTGGAAGTACTCGTTCACTCCATCTGGAACGTTGACATGATCGTCCTTGAGAGCATTTGTTGACTTCTATAATTCGCCTTCCATAGCCATGATTGAAATACATGGACCAACTTGGGCCAACTTAGAAATTACTCATCTTCATCTCATGGTTTTAGAGGTTCCAGCCCATTTTCCCTTGTCCCTGTTATTCCTGGGCTCAGAGTGAGGCGGGAAGTCACAACAGCGAGTACGTGGTAAAGCAAGGCCACTCACCTTGTGAAGAACAGGAAACATGAGGCTTGGCAGGAAAAAAGTGGTGACAAGGTATATTTTACTAGGGTATTGGTGAGCTGACCTAATTGCCTCCTATTAGACTCCACTCCCATAAAGTTTGCAGTACCCACCAAAACAGCACCACCAACCGGGGACCTAGACTTCAACCTATGAGCTTATGGGGACATTTTATATTTGAACCAAATAGCATTCATTTAGGTCATCACATCCTTCTAAGATGGTCTCATTTAAGAGCTAAAAGGAAGTATCTTTGCAGAAATTATCAATAAGGCATTAGGATCCAGTGTAGGAAGCAATAATAATAATGTTTATTGGGTACCTGCTATTCATTAATCCATGCTAGATATTATCACTCCACCTTATTATAGATGAAGATACCGGACCTAAGATGTATGCCTCTGTCAAAGGTCACATAGTGGTGTCACAGTTAAGTGTAGATTCAACTGAACATTCCTTGTGTACCTGATCCTGCCTTCTTTGCCCCTTCTCACCAATAAAACCAGTGTTCTGAGCACCTGTGGCCTCAGGTATGGGGAGAGGGTACTGACCTTTCATTTTCTATGATGAGATGGAGAGGATGCTTGAGGAAAAAGAATCAAGAATACTGTCACAGTACATGAGCTCTGAGACCAGTGGTAGGATTGCTTCAATCAAAGGAGAATGCATTTCAGAAATGGTGATTATAGTCAGGAATGCATATCACGATGGTTCACCCTTGGTTCCCATTGTGAGCAATACAGTGGCTTGTCTTGTTTCTCTTTCCCCTTGTTGAACTGAATGTGAGCAACCTGGGGTCAAGGGTCACATCTTACACACATGTGTGGTAGGAGCTTAGGGTAGGAAGAAAGGTTGTTTGGTTGGATGTTAGATGGATGGTGCACACAAGGAAAGATGATTGGATGGATGGATGATTGGGTGGATGCCTGGATGGATGGATGGATGGATGGATGGATGGGTGGATGGGTGGATGGATGGATGGGATGGTCATGTGACAGACTGGGTAATTGGATGGTTAGACTGAGGGGAGGAAGATATGAAAGGAGGAATAACACCAGGGAGGACTGAAGATGATGGTGGATGAATGGCTGGCTGGCTGAGGGGCGTTTTACAAAGCATGGCCGATACTCATTTTGTACTGCTCCACACTTTTGAAACATGATTGTCTGAGAGTAAGAACAGGGCTAAAGAGATCAGGGAGTTCTGCTGACTAGAATCTCTGACTTCTGGGAACTGGATGGACACTGACAGAGACTGACAGAGCATGGGAGCATACACTGTGGAGCGAGCCTTCAGGACTGTAAAGAATGCTCCGTGCTGTGCACAGAGGAGCCACATGCCCAACAGAAGTCCTCCCCTCTCTCCCATGGCCTTAGGACTTGACACTGGAGTCATCATTTTATTGTAAGTCCCCTGAGAATCTTTTTATTTTGTCTTAAGAGCACAAATTCGTCTCCCAAGGGAGTCCCTGCCTGCCTTCTGGGCTATAGCAGAGAGACTGTGGATATAGTCAAACAATGTGCCCCCACCTCCCATCCCTCCCCCACTGTCATTCTTGTTGTTTTATATGTGTTTATTTTTAAAGTCAGTCTAGGGAGTACTAGCTCCATTGGATGTTTATAAACATGAAGATCAGAGAAATGAAATATCTCCCCGGAGGTCACCCGGCTGAGATTCCACTGCAGGTTCATCCAGCTCATTCCCTGTTCACACTGACCCAGAAGGGTCCTCATTCTAATGTCACCCAGGGCCATCACAGAAACCACATTCCCCATCCTTGCCTGGGCTAGACCTGGAGCTGTTCCTGACGTGTCCTAGCCCAGACTTAGTCATGTGATATCGAGGATTTGAAACCCATCTGTGACATCGGTCTATATTTATCCCTGTGTGCAGGAGCATAGGAAACTATTGTGCACTCCTGGGAATTTATGAGTGAAATAAACATTTAAATGTTCCTGTAAAATTTATTAGAGAGGAACAAAATGTGACCTGTTGCTTTTGATTGGAGTGAGCTTGCTGGAGGTGACACAGCCCCACAGAGGTTGGCTGACCCCCAAGGAGAAGAGAGATAGACCCCTGGGGAGGCTGGGCCCTTAGCCTGGGAAGAGGGACAAGGACCTCAGGGCAGGTCTGCCCCAGCCCACTTCCCTCCTGCTGTGTGTTCTTTCCCATTTGGGTTCAAGTTTCTTGGAGGAAGAGGCATCTCCATGAGGAAGTGCTCAGCATAGAGGGTTAAGAGGCTATTGTCTGAAGGACACCAGAAACCAGGGGCAGTGTCAATAAAGACTAGCTGACAGATGGAGAAGCTGTATGACACAGTGGGAAGGATGCTACCTGTGTGGCCCCGGGCAAAGCAGTGGCCGACTGCACACTCAGTCTCCTTTCACAATTGCAGGGGGTAGTGAGAATGAGTACCCCAGTGTGTTGATGGGTACCCTGCAGAACTGATGGCTGACTGAGAGAACATGAGGGTTTGGGACAAGGCCAGGGTGCAAGAGGTCTGAGGAGTTGGCCTTTCCCTTGGTGTCTATGACCCATATGGGATGTCTATTGTTTGAGAAGTTGGTGAGGGAGAAATGGAACCAGGTGAAGATGAGTCACTGACCAACAGGGTTTACATGGTCAGATGTCTGAGCTGAGGTGCTTGTTGGCCCTGTTACCAGAAGGGCCAGTCTGATGCCTTAATGAACTCCTAATTTAGCTCTAACTTGTCAACCAGATCCAAGACCAAAAACAACAGTTTCCTAGAAACTAAAATCCCAAAATGGTAAACTTAGCCATGAAGGTAATACTAAGCACTTACTATGAGCCAGGGGCAGTTAGTTCCATGACCTTTCCATTTGGGGCTAAGAGATTTGGTAAATGAACATAGCTGATAGGGCCTTACAATATTGGGACACCTATGCCCCCAGTCTGTTTGCTATTCGTTTGAAATTCAAATATAACTGGGAATCTTGTATTTTATTTGGACATTCTTTTTCTATATCAATTTGTTTAATTTCTAAGGATTTGTGTATATGTGTGCTCTCAGATTTCTCGTATTGGTTATTTCTGGGAAGTAGTGGGAAGTAGTCAGAGTGTCAATGAATTAAAATAAAATCTCTTTTATTCAGCACCAAAGCATGCTTTTAATTTGTGAAAGCTCCACCACAAGGATGGCAGAAAACATGTGATACATAGGTAGAAAAATGAAATTTTAGCCAACATATATCTCTTGTTCACCTGGGGATTCGTATGAGAAAGGCTCTAAGTAAGGCAGACAAAAAAAGACAATTTCCAGAGTTCAAATATTCAGCTGAGACAAAATCCTGTGCACATTATAGGAGTGTTGATTAGCCTTCCTGTGGCAAGAATCTCCTGTGAACAAGAGTCAGGGAGATTTCAAACCTAAATGTCTTACACACCAGAAAGGCAGGTCAGGCTGAGCCACCGGAGAGGCCATAACAGAAGTGTTTGGGTCCATAGGCCAGGCTAGAACTTTTATCACAGTTCCTATGCAGAAATATGGAGATTGCTTATTACTCGGTTTCAAGGAACACAGAAACCGAAGGGTTGGGGAGATGGCTCAGCAGTTAAGAGCACTGGTCAAGGACCTGGGTTTGATTCCTGGCACCCACCCACGTGGCAGCACATATCCTCATATGGGAGGGTGGGAGGGAGAGGAAGTAAGGGAGGGGGAGAAAGGGAGGAAGGAAGTGAGGGGGAGAGAGAGAGAGAGAACTGAGGTAGTCTATATGTTCATTCGCTCATTTGTAGTCATATCACAATGTACCCCACATCAAAATATCACACCTTGAATATATGCAATTTCTATTTTTCAGTTATATCTCAATAAAGCTGAAACAGACAAACCAACATAGCTAGCCGGTGACCTGTGGCAATGACCTTGGGCGTCACACTGTGGGGAATGCTGCAGTTCCAAGGCCCTGCATGTTCCCCCCCAGCCCAGGCCTAACTCCACTTGTGTTTGCTCTAAACCACCAGGACTCTCCCTCTGCAGGACCATTTTGCAGCCCTCCCACAATCATCCTGACGGGGGGATGCCAGCTCACCTGAAGGAGAAGCGGACAGAAACCTGATCAACAGGTACGCAGCCCAGGCAGATGAGCACCTGCTGTATTTCCAGAAAGCCTTTCTTCTTCTCTGAGTCACTTTACTGCTAAAGACACTATCAAAGAGGACTCGGGACAGAGCTCAGTTGGTAGCTTGCTTCTTGCCATGTTGTGTGAAGCTCTGGGTTTGATCCCCAGGATCATAGTCGGGATATGCTGGGTATACCTGTAACCCCAGCACTCAGGTGGAGGCAGGACAGCAGAAGTGCAAGGTCATCCTTGGCTACATGGGGAGTTCAAATCCAGCCTGGGATACAAGAACCTTATCTCAAAAATAAAAATAAGTATTATCAGGTAGCTTTTCAAAACGGGAAAGAGAATTTAGGATTATTTTCTCCATTATCTTCTTTCCTGAAATGATGCTCTTGCTCTTGGTTTGGCCCTGTGAGATTTTAGGAAAAGCACAAGATATCATAGCAGGGAAAATTCTCGTACTATCAGCCCAGGGATTCCCATACAAATCTGGAGGATACAGGTCTTTGACTATAGAATACTGTTGTGGACAAACCAGGTCCTTCTTGGAAGATAATTGGTTGGGAGGAACACTGGATCATCATCACAGGGTCCCTGCACTGTCTAGCCGGAATAAGGTTGTCTAGGTATCACTTTTAATAAATTTAAAAGATAATTCTATGGAATGGGGATCCAGGTCCATGGGAAGGTCCAGGCCTACTAAGTACAAGGCCCTGGCTTTGACAGGCAACACTACAGACATTAGTTAGAGGGTAATTCTCATACGACAGAATGAGTATACATGTCAAAGCCTTCTTCATCCATGAATTAAGGGTAGAGGCAAAAGGGCAGAGTGGATACCAAAGAGGATGTAAGAAATGAATATGCATGTGTGATCAATGTGGGAGGGGGTTGGAAAAAGCCAAATAAAATTGTGAAGTCATATAAGACAGCTTCATGGGGCAGGAGAATTGGCTCAGGAGTCAAGAACATACACTGTTCTTACAGGGGACCTGAGTTCTCACCACTCAAAGTGGGTGGCTCACAATCATCTCTAACTCCAGCTCCAGGAGAATCAGATGCCTTGGCCTCTGTATACATCTGCACACACATACACATGCATGCATAATTAAAAATAAATCCTTAAAAAGAGCTTCATGTAGCCGGGCAGTGATCCCAGACCTCAGGAGGCAAAGGCAGGCAGGTCTCTGTGAGTCTGGTATAAAGAGCAAGTTCCAGGACAGCCAAGTCTATACAGCAAAGCCTTGTCTCAAAAAACCAAAACCAAGCAAACAAAAACCTTCATGTTTTGCAGGTCAGTGAAACCGTGTTCTGATCTTCTCTTTCAAAAAGAGATCATCCTGTCTCTGCCAGCCCCTATGGATGTTTTATGAGGTCTCCACAGGAAACCTACATAGTAGTAAAGTTTATTCCTTGAGACTGGGCTTGGATACCTTGAGTGGGCAATAGAGTGGCATAGAGACTTGCTGAGTCAGTGGTGCTCCCTGCTCCCAGGGGCTCTGAGGTGGGAGACTGGAGTATGGCCTGGGAATTCGTCCATTTAACATGCTCCCAAAGTGACAGTCAGAGGACCCCTGAGTGTGCCCATAAGATGATGTCCGGGGCAAACACTGAGAGGCTGTAGAGACAGCTCATTTATCCGTCTCTGAGTAGATGACTATGTCCTGTCTTTCAGAGCTCCCAGTCCCCACCGAAGGCTTTCCCACAGACAACTGAAGGCCTCCACAGCTTCGCTGACTTCTGTGGGTAAGGGCTGGCTCAGTATGAGGATGTGTTTGAGTAGCAGGCATGAGCTGGCTAAGTTTAGTCACACTCGGCCCCTTTTCCTCTCCCCAAGCCCAAAGAGTAGAGATCTCCATGTTTGGGTCAAGAAGAAATGACGACTAGTTTCAGTGTGAGAATGAAGAGGAAGATGAGGAAGTCAGCAAAGACAGGAAAGTTATGCTTAGCACTGGGCTCAAGAGGCAGAGTCATGGGGCTGTACTGGGCAGGTCCAGGTCCAGGTGGAGAGGACTCACGTCAAAGGCTGGTGGCTATGATCTCCTGCTGGTTCCTCCTAATGATTTTTTACACCTTCATGGGACCGTTCAAGGATAAGGGTCACACAGACTTGGTCTTTGTATTCAGTGTTGATCACACTGTAGAAAGTATGGGGATATTCCAGGGAAAGTAGTATTTGAGTTTCCCCTTAAAGAGATAAACTGTGTGTGGAGGGAGGGATGGCTCTCTGGGTGGAAGAAGGGTGTGGTAGGAAGCAGGAGCCACCCAGAGTAAAATAGCAACCAAATGCCCAAATGCTGTGCCATGTATATGTGACACAACCCCTGCAAATGATGAAGCCCCAACTCATATTAGATTGCTCTAAAATAGCAATCTCCCTCCCCCATGTCTTCCTCCACCGCTGTTTTTTCCTCCTTCAGGGTCTATGGTTGCAGGTACTATGGGATCCAGGTCCTCAATTTGGTTTGAAGGCAGGGGCTTTTCAGGGGGCTGATATAATTGTTCAAGTAAAAGCTTATGAGCAGGAATGGAATTGGAGAAGACACTTATAGGTAAATGCTATGCCTGGGCCAGGTTTGGACATGGAAACTGAGGAAGAAGGGTGCCCGGAGTGACCATTATTCCTTGGGCACCTGGCAAGGAGACAATGCCACCCACTCAACTCATCTAGAGCACTTCTGGAGAAGGGGTAGTTTGGGGAAGGATGAGCAGCAGAAGGAGAAAGGTGGCCATGGATTGCAGCTGGGGCTTGGGACAGCAGCTTTGAGCTTCATCCCTAGCTACATACTGACTAACTAGCTCGTAAAAAAACAGAGCATGAAGGCAGGACTCCCTTTAGAGAGGTGTTAGGACAACTCTGGGAACCAAAGCATGCTTCACAAACCTTTCTGACAGGCTACAAGCCACAGGCGCCAGGCCCATTGAGGAAGCCACTGTCTGCCCCCATGCCCTCCATCCTGACATGGGCATAGAGCTGAGTTCTGAGGTGGCAGGGCCTCTAAGGTGAGGTGACTCTCGCTGGGAGCTCATTCTCTTTCTACAGACCCCACGGGACATGTCATTGACCTGGTAAATGACCAGCTACCAGACATCAGCATCTCAGAGGAGGACAAGAAGAAAAACCTGGCGCTTCTGGAAGAAGCCAAGTCGGTGAGTGAGCGATTCCTGACCCGCCGCGGGAGGAAATCAAGGAGCAGCCCCGGAGACTCCCCATCAGGTAGGGCAGGGCCAGCAGCAGGGCAGGTAGCTGCCCTGAGCCCCCTGAGGCCAGGCTGAGGGGAGGGAGGGGAGGACCAGGCTCAGCTGCAGGAGGACCTTGTTTCAAGAGGGTGGACTTCAGGTGGCCTGTCCTCTTTGCTTCCAGGTTCTAGAATGCCTAAGCCTGGCAGAGATGATCCCTCAAGAAGCCACTGTACTCAGCTTCCAGAGTTCCAAAACTTCTAGACAACTCCACCTTTGAGAACTCTCCTAGGCTTTGCTTTTGGGTCTTCCCCATGTGTGGACAAATGTCATTCCATATAATACCTATGTTCTTATTTGGTCTCAGCATCTTTCCTTCACAAATGCTTAGGTCTTTAGCACTCATGCAGAGAAACCCTGTGCAATCCCCATATGAATAGACCCTTTGGTGGCCCTGCACAGCAGAGTCTGCCTAACATTCCCACCCTCTCTATGAAGACCCTGCTCTATGGCGGGCATCTCCCCAGCAAAGGTCTAAGGAGGCTGTCTAGGCGCCCTCACACTCATCTCCAATTCTGGGAAAGAGACCAACTTTAAGGGAATTTCTGGGCTAAGGAGATGATTTTCCTGGGCCTCTCTGCCATGCTGTACTGTGGTCCCTCTCCTTCCTGAGTGCAAAGATGATGTCTGTTTTAGACTAGTCCAAGTGACCTTGGAGGACTAGAAGAGTATTGGAAATCAGAGTGGTCCTACAGCATCTACAAAGTGCAGTCTTGTATGCTTTTCCTGTCAAATAATGCCAGGTCCGTCCTCAGTTTCTGGAAAGTTCTCTGAGGTCAGGTCCAGCAGGCTAAGGAATGTGACCCCATATACTGGAAATTACCTGAGGGCCCCTCTGCTGGGGCCAGCCATAGGGAAAGTTGGGTTGTAAGAGGAACCTTATATGGCATTCCAGAACCAGCCTCTGACCTTGACAAGGCAATCTGGGTTCCCAGGGGTGGAACCTCCCTGAGGGGATCATTTCTTAAGTGGCAAAAGTCCTAGGCCTTCATGAATGCCAGTCAGGTGTTTTGTTCGTTTCCACAGCTGTTTCCCCAAACCTCAGCCCTGGAGCTTCTCCTGCACCTTCTAGAAGCTGCTCACTCACTATCTCCACACCGCCAGGTGAGGCTGACTCTGCCCTGCCCCAGTGGGGGCAGACGTACAGGCTTTAAGGATTGGGAATAGTATGGCAGGCAACAAGAGACAGGCTGAGTGAGGATAGGGTCTCAGGAAGGTGGCTATGATGGGTGTTCGGCTCAGAGAGAGACCATCACAGATCATTTTGAATCCTCTTGTCTGGACCACTGTGAGTTTCGTTTGTCCTTGTGCTGCCGGGGGTTGAACCTAGGTCCTCACACATGCTGGGTAAGCACTCTACCACTGAGCTACACCTCCAAGCTTTGTAGGCATTTCAGTTTCCTTTTTTCTGGGCTGTGTCCAGAGCCGCACCCTCAGACACCAGAGTACCACGGTGGACAGCCTGCCCTCGTCAGTGCTGGAGGGCAAGCCCAGGATCCTATATTCACAGATGCTTCCTGATTATCAAACCTTGAGGTCCCCCATGACTCAGTTTCCTTATTTGGTTTCTATGGTGATTTAATGTTGGCAGGTGAGCAACAACCGTGTTTATGGCTGCCAGACCTCACAACAGATGGCTCAAAGTGTGTGTGTGTGTGTGTGTGTGTGTGTGTGTGTGTGTGTGTGTGTGTGTGTGTGTGTGTGGTGGCGGGGCAGACAGGAGTGAATTGATGTTAAAGTGACAAGTACGGGACTAGGCGATGGGCATCATTTACCTTCACTGGCCCATTGCAGGTTTCGACACATGCAGTGGCCCACAGTCCTCTTTGCCAGGAGGACCACCACAGGTAACAACACTCCTGTATGCTTCTTCTAGGTCAGAAGATCTCTTGTTCCTAACTAATCGCTGGACCCTCTGTAACCCCTGAATGAGGGAGGTGCTGGGGAGGGGGTGGCATTTACACCCTGCTAAGCTTCAGGAGCAATCAGGCCTCTTTCCACTGCTGCTGACCTGTGTTTTCTTCCTCAGCAAAAGGGGCATGAGGCTACCATCTCCTCACCTCACCTCGGAGAGCCTGTAAGTCTGTGCTTTGCTTGTCTTACAATGATGTGAATGTGGGGAATGTGGTCTCAGGAGCATAGGCTGGCCCCTGAGCAGCCCACAGCTGTGTGGACATGTGCCAGGGTGAGCAGAAGACTCCTCTTATGAGATGGAAGTCTCAGAGGGAAAGAGGTAAGGCAGGACCCTGGAAGGTGATCTGCACCCCCCAAATCCAGCCAGACATAAGAGCTGCTCCTCTCAGCTCCAGAAAAGTTGCAGGAAAGCTGGGACTCTCATACCCCATTTGGATGTCTATAAATAGGTCTCTTGTCAAGATCTGAGTCTTCTCAACCTGCCTCCAGGATCCCCAGTCTACCTTGTCTCTTCCAGAATATCTCCAAAGGGCTAGCCGACCGGAAGCAGAATGACCAGCGGAAAGTGTCTCAAGGCAGACTGGCTCCTCGCTCGCCCACAGTGGAGAAATCCAAAGAACTTACAGTAGAACAAAAGGAGAACTTTGATCCCCTTCAGCATCCGGAGGCCACGCCCATGGCTCAGGCTTCTGGAGCAAGCATCAGTGGGAAAATGGCCCTGAACAGCCCCCAGCCTGGCCCTGCTGAGATGGAGCTTGGGAAGCAGCTCCTGAAGACAGCAAGGGAAGGCAGCTCTCTGCCCAGAGGCACAGCCCAAGCCTCAGGAGGAACTGGCTCTTCACATCCCCAGGGACAAGGTGCTGCTGGAGAGTCTGTGGGACCTAAGGCTGGCTCCAAATCTGAGCTGTGGCCCCCTGTGTCCCGGCCTCCCTTGATACGGGGAGTCTCCTGGGACAGCAGCCCTGAAGAACCTGGTCCCCTGTTGCAGAAGGTACTTGCCAAACTGCCTCTGTCAGAGGAAGAGAAGCGGTTTCCAGGCAAAGCCAAGCTAGCCAAGCCACCTGGGCTCAAAGACTTCCAGATACAAGTACAACCAGTGCGCATGCAGAAACTGACCAAGCTCCGGGAGGTGGGTTCCTGCCCCGCTGCTCAGTGTGTACACGCCAGGTTCCCCATGTGCTACAGACTTTCGTACTCAGGCTCGGCCCTGGGACAGGACAGCTTTGACCTCAAGGAGTCCCAAATTTCTTGACCCTGAGGAGCTGGTCCCATCAGTATCACATCTCCATAGCAAGCAGCAGCACAAGGTGCCTTCTGCTCTGTTAATAGACAGAAGTCCACCTACACATAGTGGTCACACTTCAGAGGAAGTTGGTCATATGGACTTCTTATCCTGCACTGTCTTCTTCTCCTAGCTAGACATGGTGACAAGAGCCTTTGATGGAGTATCTTGTCATGCTTAGAATTGGGCAAGACCAGGATAAGAGGGTTTTTCTTTTGTAATGGCATTCAGCCTGCCTTCCTGGTACCTATTAACCAAGGTTTTTAGACCCAAGAACCACTATGACAAAGTTAGAGTTACAGTTAGGGTTAGGATTAGGATTAGGGTTAGGGTTAGGAGCTACTCCTCCATGGTGAATTTCACCCAGTGTCCATAACTTCCATTGGTCATCAAACTAGGAACAGTGGTCAGTCAAGGGGCTGCCCTGCTATACAATGAGTAACTGCTGAGGAGGAAGAGGAGGCCAGATTGTAAAAGGGAGGGGTTAACTGGATTAAAAAAAAAGTCATGATCCAGTCCCTTCTCTCTCAGAAGGCCAATGTCAATCCCAGTCAAGGAGATTCTGGTTCTTCTCCTGAGTGAGTGAGGGTGAGGGAGGAAGTGAGGGTTGATTGTGCTCCAGCTCAAATGAGAATATCTATGCTAGCAAGAACACATCCTGACAGGCCACTGTGCTGTTCAGAGAGTGTCTACAGACTAACGAAGTGGTTCAGTTGGTAGAATGCATGCACACCAGTGTGTACAAAACCTTGGCTTCTCAGAATCACATAAAACCATGTGTGGTAGTAGCTCAGGCCTGTAATCCTATTGCCCAAGAGGCGGAGACAGGAGGATCAGAAATTCAATGTCACGTTCAGTTACATAGTGACTTTGAAGCCAGTCAGAGATAGATATAGATGGTAGATAAATGGACAGACAGACAGATAGAAAATCATAATCTTCTATGATGTTTTGGAGTAGAGGCTTAGGAAGATGAACAATTCACATAGAATCCCCAGCCTCCAATTTGGATCCCAGGGTACCTGGTAGCTTAGAACGAGGCCAGGCAGAGCTACCCACAGTGAGTCACATCCTGTATCTGTGAAGGCAAGGGAAAATGAAGGGACAGTTATCTGGGGAATCACCTTCATGGACTTCAAATGCTGGGAGAGTAAGCCATTCCCTCAGAACTCCCCACACCTCTTCCGGTCACTCTCACTCAGCAAAGGAGGTTGCAGAGAGCACGGAAGTTCATGCCACCAGCGTCTGACAACTGAGCACACACTCTGTACCCTGTCTAGTGTGCTGACAGCTGAGAGGCTCTGGACCTCTGGCTTGTTGAGTATATCTGGGTTCTGTTTGGATCCTGAGTACTCTCTGTTGGCCAGTCACTCAAGTGACTTCTGTCACCAGAGAGGATGAAAACCCTTGGACAGCACCAGGGACCAGGAGAGAAAGCAGGCATCCCACTAGAGGGCTCTAGTCTGACAGGAATTGACTTGGAGAAAGGGTGGCCTACTGGGTCCAACACCCTCAACCTAGCTGTGTCTGCTCAGTTCCCTAGGCAGGGACTCTCAGGCCATAAAGGTCACTGAGGAAGGAGTGTCACACTTACACAGAAGAGCAGGCAGGAAGCTATGAGTACTTCAAGAATTGCTCCCCAAAGCAGCTGCATGGGTATCTAGGACATTACTGTCCCCAAAGTCCTAAGTCCTACACACTTTCCTCACAGTCAGACTAGGCAGTTCATTTCCCCTGAGGCCCACAACGTCTTCAACAAGCAAGTCATGTCGGAGGTAGTTCTTCACACAGTGAGCGTGGCACAAATGGTGGAATTTCAGGTCCTTTTATGGGCTTGGAGAGGACCTTGTGCCCCTCTGGCCTCACCACACCTTGTCATGGCAATTCACTCACTCTGGCCAGTCTTTAGAAACCCATCTAAGGCTGAGTGGTAACAGAGCCACTAGGGAGCAAAGAGAAGAATCTAGTCTGTTGTCGTTGTCTGAACTGTGTCTCTTCCTCTTCTCGCCAAGGAACACATCATGATGAGAAACCAGAACCTGGTGGGGTTCAAGCTTCCCGAACTGAGTGAAGCTGCAGAGCAGGACAAAGGTAGGTTACTGGGGCCGGCTTGCCCTCCTGCTTGTCCTCGTGCGCCCCCCGGACTAGTTAGCCTACTAAGTCAAGGGTGTTCTACGTGTGAACACTAGATTTCTCATCAGTATTTGGGCATGAGTGATGGAAGCCAACTGAGTAGCCCACTGAGGCACAGCATGCCCAAGTCCGTCTCCTTCCTGTCACCCTCATCCCCAGCCCTGTTAGTGACAGTGGGTCTGGAAAGTGCCCCAGGCCTGAACTTTTGACATTGCCTTTTCCCTCACACCCAGGAAGCCACCCAAACAGATTGGTTCCTCTTTTCAAGACACCAGAGCTCTCTCTTTCTAATCTGCTGCCACCACAAAGTCCACAACCCAGCCCTGCCCTCCTGGGTGACTGCACATCCCTTCCTCCAAGGCTTCGCTCTCCACCACCCCCACAAACGCTCTACCATACTTCTCTGAAAATAAATCAAGAGGCTGGACCCTCCCTGTTCCTGTCTTAGTCTGTTCTTCCTGAGTTCACTGATGCTCCAGTGAGAAGCACAACTGTTTATCCTAGCTCTGCTACTGACTGAACAAGCTGCCTGGCCTCACAGAACCCGATCTGCAGCCCCACCTTATAGCACAGGGCTGTCATGGTTGCCTTAAAGATTATCAAGAAGAGTACATGAATTAAAATGTATTTACAGTGTAGCTAGAACAACACTTGGTACATGTCAAGATCTCTGGCGGCCCCAAGAGCCAGTATCTGTCTGGGGGGGGTGGTTCATCTATGTGTACACGTGTGTCTGTGCACATATTGTAGACTACATGCTTACAGTGGTGCCTGGCACTAATGGGCCCTGAGTAAGTATTTATGAATGAACGAATGGATGAGGTTGTGAAAGAGTTCACATAGGAGCCTCTGAGATAGACACATAAAAGCAACCTATAGCCAGAGTGCGCCACGGTGGTCAGAGAATGAATGTGTTCAGAGGGACGCTTCCAGGCGGGCTCTCTGTCCTTCCCCCTTCCCCAGGCCTGTACCCCATGGACACTCAGCACCTTGCCTCTATGCTTTGTATATGCTCTGTTGCCGCCTCCCCTCCCCTCTGAACCATTGTACCTGCGGGTAAAGCAATGGTAAGTCTACCTGCTCTAAAACCCCTTTCCTCGCTCGTTTTGTATTTATGCCCACACCTTTTTTTTCTTTTGTTGGTATCTACTGATTTGTTAAGTGGTGATGTATACAATGTTATGTATAACATATACATGGTATTAATCATTTCCGGCATGTGGTTTGGTGGCTTTAAGTCCTGCCATGGTATGTTGTGCAGCCGTCATCACTGTCCAGCAACAGAACCTTTCCGTCTTCCCCAGCTGCAGCTCCACACCCAATGACACCAGCTGCTCATGCCTGCCCCTCCCCCAGCCCCTTGCCTTCCCCAGTTCCCTCACATAAACGAAGCCCTACAAGATTCCACCCTAATATTTTAATGTCATCCCAGTAAATTCTCTCTAGGGTATTGCAGACTCTAAGTCAGTTGGGACTCAGATTTAATCTTCTCCCAGGAAACTAAGAGGCAGGGATTTTTGCTTTCGTCTTACTGTTAGGGAAACTGAGGCCCAAAGAGTTACTGACTTCACATGGTTTTGCCATCCCAGGAGCTGTTCTAAAATATGTTTTAGGTTCATTTTATTTTAGATAAGCTAATCGAGATGAAGCCAGCTTACGGGGAGCAGGACAGTGACTGCAAGACCACTTTCTGGAAACTTCTACCTTTCTCCTGTAGGCACTAGTGGGTCCCAGGCTTCAGAGAACACTTTTGGAAAGGCACACTCCCCCTCAGGCTGCCCATGGATGGTGTGAGTCATAAACCATCACATAAAATTCTGGGTATCACTGGGGAGTGAAAATTTCTGGGCTGAAATATAATGACTAATACCCACTCAGCATTACCAAGGCTCCCAGATGTAAAATCTCCAGGAAAACATGTTTAAAGGACTGAATTATTTTTTTAAATTAACCATCTTGAGGCAGGTGTGGTGGCAAATACTTTAGTCCCAGCACTTTGGAGGCAGAGGCAGGAGGATCTCTGTGAGTTCAAGGTCAGCCTGGTCTACTGAATGAGTTCCAGGCTATGTATTGAGATCCAGCCTTAAAAAGCCAAAACAATCAAACAAACAAACCATCTTGGAGCTAGGGAGATAGCTCAGGGGTAGGAATTCTTACTTTATAAGCATGAGGATCTGAGTTTGGGTCCTCAGCACCCACATAAAAAGCTGGTTGTGGCCACAATGCAAGTCTGTAACACCAGAGCTGTGAGGGATGGAATCAGGAGGACTGATGTGGTCTGCTGGCTGTCAGCTTACCTACAGAAAGCTCAAGGTGTAAGGCAAAGAATGACAGAGCAAGAGCACCCAGCATCTTCCTCTGCCCTCTCTACACACACGCAGGTATAAATATCTCTCTCTCACATACACACATAAATACACATACACAAAAACATTAACCATATTAGAGGTCTTCTTCTAAATGTGTTCCTCTTCACTATTTTCTATACATGAGGTTGGAGAGATGGCCCAGCAATTAGGAGTACTTGCTGATCTTGCCTAGGACATAGGTTTGCTCACCAGTACCCACAGGACAGCTCATAACTGTCTATAACTCTAGTTCCAGGGAGCCAATACCCTCTTCTAGCCTCCTCCAACACTAAGCATCTATATAGTACATATGCATGCAAACCACTCATACACATAAAATAAAGAAATTTTTAAAACAGTTTTTATACGGAGCCCCATCACATTTCTATTCTTTCCAGTTTTTACAATTTTTCCTGTTGTTTGATTTTATATACATATATATATATATTCCGCTGAAGTTATCATAACTAATTAGATGTATTCCTTCTGTGTGACCATCTCTATTGTAAATATTTCAGACGTTTATAGTTCTCTATCTGTTATAAACAGTTTGTCTTTGTGCTTGTGTGGTTGTTTCTTTTTGTTTTATTTCTTCTTTCTTTTAAGGAATTCCCTTGGGATAAATTCTCAGACTTGAGAGTCTCCGGTTCAGCATGTAGAAATACTTGTCTCTTATCAAATGCTCCAAACATTTGTGTATGTTTTTCTTCTAAGCATGACAAATTCTGAATTTTGCTTTGACTTGCTACTTCTGGCCAGAATATAGTAGAATAGGAAACAGGTGATCAATAATCATGACATCATAACCAGAGATGGTGGCTGAGCTTTATTGTCAACTTGACTGGAATCAACTAAAATGGAAGCCAGTAAACAGTGTTCCTCCACGGCTCTGCCCTAGTTCCTACCTCCAGGAACTAGCTTCCTGCCTTGAGCCTCTTGCTCTGGCTTCCCTCGATGATGATGGACTATAACCTAAGCCAAATAAACCCTTTCCTCCCTCATATGGCTTTTGGTCAGTGTTTCATCACAGCAACAGAGAAGCAAAGTAGAGCATGCCTGTAATCCTAGCAAGCAGGAGGCTGAGGCAGGAGGACCCCAAGTTGAGGCCAGCCCAGGCTACATAGTCTACATAGTGACCCTATATTTCAAAACAAGCAAACAAAAAAGATGACAGTTATAATGTGCTATTATTAGTGCTGTAAGATGACACTTTTGTTTTTATTTCAGTTGATTTTCTAGCACGCTTAAAGTTAAATTTTTCTTTTTGGTACTAACTTTTTGGTTTATATTTACCCATTTGGGACCCAGATTAGTTTTTTTGTCTGTTAATAATATATGTGATGTCTGTGCATAACAGATATAAATGCTTTGTCTGAATGTTTTCTCTCAGTGTTTAAAATTGTTTTATGTACATGGGAGTTTTGCCTGCATGTATATCTATGCATCATGTTTGTGCATGGCCCACAGAAACCAGAAGGCATA